CACTAAATGCTTACTTTCAGTTCGAAATCCTTGGCGATGATTTTGCTTAATATTTTTTACAAATTCAGAAGAGCTGTACGGGTTTTCTTTTACATTAAATTAAACTGTATGCGTGGTTTTTTTTCAGGTTCTTGGACCAGAACAAGCTTCAAAGTTTTCCATCAAAATTGAAAGGGTTGAAAAAACTTAAGATATTGTAAGTAAACTTTGCAGCATAAACTCAAGCGCAAGGGGCGCGCACGCGCATTCTGTTCTTCCTTTACGCCTTCCCTTCGTCAAGCTCGACCCAGAGCTCTTCTGCGCATGTAGAGAAGAGAGATCAAGACCGCGCATTCCCAAACCCATAAGCACTGGGGTCGAGAATGTTTCTTTCGTCTCCTTTGTCGGAATTAAAGTAGCCTGAGAAAACACCCGACATTTGGCGACGCTACAACTGGTTTTCCCGCCAAATGACCCCTGAGAAACGATGAGGTGTCACTACCCAGATCTGGCAAGTGCTTCTGATTGGTTGAATCAAATTTCCCACGCGGCACGACCAATCAGAAGCACTACCCAGATCTGGGTAGTGACGCGTCATCAGTATGGTTTTTCCGCGCTCGTTTCTCAGACTTCATTTGGAGAGGAAACCAGTGGTAGCGTCGCCAGATGTAGGCTGTTTTCTCCGGCTAGAATTAAAGGTGCTATAGCTCGTGTTCTGCTGTCCGGTTTAGAATGGTACCCACACAGTTTTCTAATTAATTATAGCTTTCAATCAATCTTGGTCGAAGTACGCCTTACAGAGTGGTCTCCAAAAGGGGTAAAATTTCAATTTCCCAACATGTATTTCCGCCCCTTCCACAGGGAATTCCCTCCCAGGTTCCAGGGCACAATTGAAAACTCCTCTAACCAAAAGTTGGATCAATTTAGGTTTTTGGGAAACTGCCCACTTACCCTTTCCCTAAGCTAACATTAACAATTACTTCTTATTTTGGGCAAAATGATGGCTTAGGGGTGGGGTAAGTGGGCAGTTTCCCAGAAACCTAAATTAATCCCAAACATTTCTGTTTTACTCGATGTACAAGCAAGACAGGATTAGTTAAGTTTTACTTCTTAACGATGTGAGCCTGCGATCTCGCCTTCCTTATATCTTACTATGTCTTAAGTGGGAAGGACGTTTTTTTATCCTCTCTTCTCGAAAAAAAATGAGTAAGTAAATTAAATAAATAAATAAAAAACGCCTGATCACAAGTTATAATTATGAGGACCGGCCAAAGATGTTTTAAACAAAGAGGTCTATAATGAAGCAGGAGTAAAAAAGATCATTAACGTGTTTCCTGAGAGTGGGCTTATACAGTTGTTGCTTTTGTTTTCTTCTAGATCTCTGAAACTGAACAACTTAAGAACTTGTCCAGTGTTGTCTTTGAAGTCTTTAAATGAGCTGTAAGTACCTTTGTCAAGTACCTTTTGTTTTGAGTTCCTAGATCTAAAATGAATTTCCCTTTTGTAACTCTGTTCCTTTTTTTCAGATATCTAACGGGAAACAAACTGCACAGCGTTCCCGCCGATTCTTTTCGAAACGCGCGAAATATTATTCACCTGTAAGTTTAGAAAGGGTCACGTGCTTTCTGTTGTTCTAATTTTACTTTCCGCCTTCTTTAAGCTTCCTCTTTGCTGCTTTGTTTCTTGCAGTGTCTTTGACACTTTTATCGTATTGTGTTTGTTTATAATCTGTAACAAGTTAGTCATAAGTTATATATTCTTAAATTTTTTTTACATTCGTATAATTTACCTCTGCATGGAAGTGTTATTTGTAGTCTACATACCCACGAAACAACTAGAAACTCTTTATCACCCGTGATTGAAATTTGGAAGTTTTGGTTTTTGTGGAAAGGGTGAAATATGTGAGCATTGTAGGGACCAACAACAAACTCGACCCAAACATCTCCTTATGTTCTTTATTTTTCGACGAGGTGTGGAATATTCATCTAACAATGAGCTGTCAAAAGTCGATTGAGACTGTATTAAGGCACCGATTCTTTTCAAAAGGTGCATATTTGTGTTAATCGATTCTATTTCAATAATGACAAAAACAACTACAACAACATAACTTTTAGACGGCAAAAACAGCTTCTCGAGCTGGCTCCGCCGGGTTTGTTCGAAAAGCGCCTCCTGGAGAGGATCCTCGACGGGTAAAGTACAGGGAACTGGCATTTTTGCACTCCGCTGGGAAAATGGGATTTGACCCCTGGGAATGAGATGACCAATCTCGGAGATTTTTTTATCTTCTAGGGCCTATTTACATAAAGGTGGGGGGCCCCCAGGTAGGTGAGGTAACATGTGTCAAGTTACCCCACCTAACATGTAAACGCGATCACATTAAAATGCGAGATAATTTGGACAGGCGGGTTACCCCACCTAAGCGGATTACCTCACCTACCTGGGGTCCCCCACCTCCTTGTAAATAGGCCCTTAATCATGGACTCTACGGATGATAAGGGAATGGTAAATTTTGTTCTGATTTATGTTTTAGGTGGCTCGACTACAATGACCTGACAGAAGTCCCGAAGGATGCTTTAGAGAAGCTAAAACACCTGGAATTTTTGTATGTAGAGTGTATTTTTCCATTTGTTAAATTATTTTGACTTCTCTGTGTTTTATTCTAAGCTGGGCAGACCCTTACAGATACTTTAGATTGTAAAACTAAAATTTCAATCGCTCTTCTCGCTATATCGAGATACTCACTCTGACGTCACCTATTGATATTAATATGCCCACCAGAAGCGCATTGGTTCTTGAAGGAAAATTTCTTTTGTTTCACTCGTTGCAAATTTGAATGACAAAAACAATGTTTGTAAATAGTTATGTCTCCTATAATCTAAGTATGTATGTTAGTCCGTCCTATTGGAAACTCTGACGTATTTCTTATTGCTGTCTTTCTTGTTTTTCATATTCCGATCATCCCCTTTTATAAATAGCATATCGCGTTTTATTTAACCAACTTATTTGATCTTTCTTTTTTAGGAGTCTTGAACAAAACAAGATTCGCATTATCAAGAACAATTCATTCCACCAGCTCTCCAAGCTAAAATCACTGTACGTACTGAATCCTAGTCTTTAATTCTGTATTGTACTCCCTTAACTTAGCCCCAACCTTAACCCTAAACCTCGGACAGATACCCGTGAATTAAACAAAGTTTATTGGGCAAGTTTTCTTCGCTGTGTTAAGTGTAATACCTTATCGGTGTAACGACGCTAAGCTGCGAAAGTGGCTCCTTGAGGAAACAAAAGTGTAACTTCACTGACACTTTTGCACAAGATGCAAAATGAAACTGCAAAAATTAGGGCGCTATGGATGGTAACAAAATCGTTGATAACAGCATCAGTCAAATTAATTTTAATAGCTGGTGTAGATGGAAGAAGTAGACTGGTTACAAGGCCTACACGAAATTTACCGACCAAGAAGAGCGATACCTGCTAGAGAGGAGGACACGCGTGGAAGTGACCCCTCCATCCTCGCACGCATCGCTTATCTTGTAGTCTAAATCAAACCTGGTTCACCCACAAGCAACTCCTACTTAGCGCTAAGTTCACCATATAATTTCCCTCAACAGGCTTCTGTTTAACAATAGTTTGGAAGAAATCGAAGTTGAAGGATTCCATGGTCTCAGGAATTTGGAAGATTTGTAAGTACTTATATCTCGCTTACAGCAACTTCTATTAGACCGAGTTAACAGGACTTGATTAGTATGTTGGAGAAAAGGGTTTCTCCACCATACTAATCAAGTCCTGTTAACTCGGTTAAAAAGAGGTTGAAAAGAAGTTCAGTTTATGTTTCTAACACTTGGTAGACATAGAATGTTAATTGTAGCTAAGAGTATTAAGTGGCATTCAGCTCATTCCTTAGGTAAAACATGTATAGCTATTACATTTGAAGCTGGAACAATAAGGCACCTATGTCTCCAAATAGGGTCCTGAATAATGTTGACTTATCTTATTTGCCCAAGTGTACATAATTTTTTTAAGCATTTTAGAAAACAGGAACCTGAGTTAAATTTTAGCCTAAACGGGTTTTTTTATAGAGGGGACCTAACTGGCAAATTGTAGCCTAACAGGTTCTTAAAAACCAGGTTCTTAGTCGCGGGTTTTTACTGTATTAGCCAAGATCAGCCCTTGCCAGTGATTCAGTCAGGTACAAAATGTTTGTCTGTAGAATAAAGTAGAATGGATTCCATTAACTTGCTCATTGTCTTCTAACTGCTATTTTTTTTGCTGTAGAAATTTAGGATTCAATAACCTTAGCAGTATGTCAGCTTCTTTACAGCATATGAGGAATCTTCTAATCTTGTAAGTGCTTTGTAAATATCGCACAGTAAATCTTTTAAAAGAGCTCACAACATCACACTTCTAACTTTGTTGGGTTTTTCTTTAACTTGTTGTCATCTAGTGGGTTTGTTCCTGACACGAAAAAAAGGGCGTCTTATCTTGCTAATTGTTGTCTAACAACGATTATCTTTTCTCTTTTAGAAATTTGGGACAGAACAGACTTAGCAGTGTGCCCACATCTTTACAAAACCTAGCGAGACTTGAAATATTGTAAGTGCACTGTAAATCTCGCAGTAAATCTGTCGTTCTCTCGTGTAACTGAGCTTTCGGTTTAAACAGTTTTTTTATATTTCGGATAAGCAACAATTACTTTACACTTATGCACATGCTAAGTTGCGTAATTGATGTGGCGAGTTTTCAGTATCCTTATATAGGACTCTGTAAACAAATAGCTGAAAGCCTTGACAGTAAATCATGTCGAAATCAAAATTACGGTAAACACTTTTTCATGTCGATTACTTAACACTTTTTCTAGTTTTATACTTATGAAGGACTCTACAAAAAATAGCTTGAAGCCTTAATGTAACCTTCCGACAACTTATCTTCCAGTAACTGAACTGAGTTTATCTCTTTTGTGTTATGTACATACTGACACCTTCATGTGTGCGTGTTTTTTCCTTCTATTTTCTTTTATTTTTAGAGAACTTCATTCTAATCCCATCACCCACATTCCAGATTATGCGTTTAGAGGGATGGAAAAACTTGCCGACTTGTAAGTAATGTAGAAATCGCAAATATAACAACTGAGGTCATACATTCTGTTAAGTAAAAATCGAAGATAAGTTCGAGGACGTGCTGAACACTAGCATGAGCGATGGAAAGAAAAAAATGGCTTTCTTTATGAATTATCTGGATCGGAATCTGGATCCACTTTGTTTCATTGACGTTAACATTACAATTAGAGGCCCCCAACTTTTATCCTTCTGCACCTGCGCAAGTCAACTTATGCTCATTTTCATCACTCGTGTGAACATCAATTCTGTTTATGCTTGCGTCGCTTGCGAGTTATCATCTGCAGACAAGTGTTGTTTAATATCTTTTATTACAAAATTCACTTGAGGATTTCATCCACCGACCGATTAAGTTTATGATTTATTGTAATGAAGTAACATTTACACAACAGCGTCAACCAAGGCACGAATGTGTTTGATTGGGAAATCTGGCTTAAGATGTGATACCAATCAAACGTGAAATCCAAAGGCGGATTTCGATTTTCGATCGGTGATATCGTAATCTCAAATCTAAAGACAAAGAAGGTTCAAATACAGATTTTCCAGTACATAAAAGTGCGCATATACATTTCATAATTTTAACGCATAGATAATGCCTCTTTTGCAGACGTTTGACCTGGGAAAGGGTGAACACGGTTGGTCACAACGCATTCGTATCCCTGCCTTCTTTAACAAGACTGTAAGCACTGAATTCTTTCTTACAACTTCAGTTTTATCCTTCAATCTTTCATTTTACCATTTGCTTGTTCACTTGCTTTAGTTCAGCAAGTCCTCACTTTTGCATTCATTTATTTCTGTCTCTCTTTTAGGTCACTGGTCAGCGTAAAACTAGTTAAATTTCCAAATTTGACCGGGACAACGCGTCTTCAAGAATTGTACGTACCATTTGATTGTTAACTTCCCTTGTAATATCTTTACCATTTACGAAAAAGGGTTAAGTTTAAGGAATGGGGCACTTATGTGCTAGTTTTGGCCGAGACAGAAGGCGCTTATTCAAAGTGTACGGTGTTCAATGCTTTCAAAGTATCACGATGAGTCATCGACAATATCGTGAAAATTAAGAATCTAAGTTCCAACATGATAAAGATCTCATTGCGTTTTAAGTTATCCAATTTATATTAACGAATACCGTTTGTATTTAGTAGCACAGGCCGTTTCCCTTTGAAAAAGAGTGGAAGGATCATGTATTAAAGGATGAGTGACTCATTCATTTCTGATTTATATTTTATTGTCTGAAGGACTGTGTCGTTTTGTGAGATCCGTGAGCTACCCGAAGACCTGTGTCAAAAGCAAAAGGATTTGGTTGACTTGTAAGTGGATATTATATTCAAAGCGTTCAGTCTAGCAATTATATTAGCTAAAATCCTCCATATGCAATTAATGTTTTAATTAGTAGAAAACAAATTACCTGTCAATGAAGGTCATATTTACATATTAGAGACGCCAAATGTTAATCAGTGTACTTTTAAAGGTCTTTTGTTTGATAATAACCCTGCAGGCTAATCTCTTTGATTCTAAATAATAACTTCACTAACAGGCACTCGGTTCTCATTTCAGGACATTGAATTTCAACAAAATTGTTCGCATGCCAGACCTGTCTGGGTGTTCCTCGCTTTCAGTGCTGTAAGTATTTCATAGGCAGTCTAGGAAACAGTATACCCTCTGGGGCAACCGAGTAAGTTATAAAACTGCAATCTTTAATATACATCTTTACTTTGTGGTTTGAAAAAGCGTACCTTACGTCCCAGCGTAATGCTTTTAAATGCTCTTATGCGAAGTTGGGTAGCAGTGATTTTATTTCGTGATCTTTTCCTCGGAAAAAACTTAAATGCTCTGTGTGAAGGTGTCATTTTGGCCGCCGTCTGCCACAATGTCTTTTTTCTCTTTCCCTTTCCGCCCTTTGCCTTAAGTCATCCGACACTTAGATTATTAACTTATAACTTTGAAATTTCATCTTTAAAACATAATACGCATTTCAAGCGACGGATTAACGCCGTAGCTGTTAATGAATTTCATTAGCACTGACACTTCTCCTACTCGGGAATGTACGGGATATTGTCCGACGACCAGTCACATTGTTTGTAACGCACATAAAAATTTTCTCCGATTACCGTTTTACAAATGGTTTACGATAAACGTTATGAGTTTCAAACACGAATCGAGAAACGAGGGGGCCTGAGTACGAGACCACTACTATGAGAATGGTTAATGACGTCAGCGTTTATAGACACCTACGTTTTTCAACCTCGCTCCCAGGGCCTCTATTTCATCATCCTACGTCATTTGATTCCTCACATATCTAGATTGTAGACGATTTCTTAGTCATGCCACACCTAATTCTTAGCAGGAAAGATATAATCTTGGTAGTTAATTCAAGTTAATATAATTTGATCAAAACAGTATTTTTCTTTTCCTTAACAGGAAAATAGAGCATAATAACATCAAATCGATTGGAAGTTCTTTAAGAAACTTGGGAATTCTTAAAGACCTGTAAGTAGTCTACAAATTTAAGTAATACCGGCTTTCTTGAAATGCAATTATCAATACACCAAGTTAACTTATTTGTGTAATGCAATAGCAAACAATCAAAATAAAGTATTGTAAACCGAATTGATTTTTCCATTTAATTGAGGAATTTTTTTACTTGCTCACCCTTCCGTTTCTTCGGTAAAAAGGAAACCAAGCTTATTCATTTCTACTTTGCGCATTCTACATGAATTTTATAGCAAATTCCGTTATGGTTCAATATGCCATTACAATACCGTTAAATTCCCCTTATAACCCCCTCCCCCCGAGTGTAAGGCCCATCTAACTGTATACAAAAATACATCCGGTTATAACCCCCATCCCCTCCCCCCCCCCTCCCCGATATAAGCTCTCCTCTCTAGCTTGCATTAAAATAATGTTGATTTTCTACGAGGTTTTGAAGCTTAAAAAGCTTATTTTTGAAACGCTTTTTTTAAGTCCGGTTATTTAACAAATCGACCTCAATTTTCCTATTCCAAGGTCTTCACTCTTATAGACCATAGAAATGACGTCATAAAATGTTTAACACTCAAGTGGAACCACGAGCCACAGGCGAGTGGTTTCACTGCAAAGTTTTGAACATTTTATGGCGTCATTTCTATGGTCTATAAGAGTGTGGACCATCAAAAATTGTGGTCGATTTTTTTTTACAATAACATTTATTTTTACGAAAAACCAAAAACAAAACAACCGGCAGTGCGAGACATGTTACGTCATTTCCATGGTCTATTCTCTCATAGACCATAGCTCTCGCCCAATCAGCGCGCGAGGATTCGCTCAATTATTATAAAAACGCCTCTCGAATACAAGCCCCACCGTTTATGAGCCCCTCTAAAACCCCTTATGAAGTTGTATAAGGCCATAGCTTATAAGTGGTCCTTCACGGCATATGGTTTAGTTGATTTTTCCTCTAATGCCATTTCTTCTACAATGTTTCTTTAGAACTCTCAAAGGGAATAAGATACGAAAGCTTGAAAGTAGGACGTTTGAAGGTGTTACTAATCTTGAAACACTGTAAGTATTTTCCGGCAGATATACTATATGACCTATCATTTATATCATCGAATGGATATTCATTATGCCTGCATATTTGATGATTTCATAGTTCTGTTGAGTAGCAGCATCAAAAGAGAGATTTATATCTGGGAGAAATTAGATACAAAAGAACTTCGGTTTTTCCAGGAATACTTTGATACTTCTAATCGTTTTCCAAGCTACAAGTAAGCGCTTTAAAAGTTAAAAATGCAACATGAAAAATATCTAAGAACGGTTACTAAAAGACTTACCTTATTAATTGCAGATTTAATAGTAACATTTAAAGTCTTGTTTACTGAAAATGTTTCGGCTCACCAAAAATTTGGTAATCATCTGAAATCTTTCTCCCTCAGTTCTATGCCTGTAGCGGGAAAATGATAATCAAGTGCCATGGTCGCTTTTGCTGTAGTAATGTCTGAACTACATTCTTTATTTAGTTTAACTTACTATTTTAATATCCTTGCAGGAACCTGGCAAAAAATGAAATAAATTTCATTGCAGATGATGTTTTTGCACCATTTAAAATGATCAAAATTCTGTAAGTATATATCATCATATGGATAGAATTTTTTTGATCGGGATTGAAAAACTAAATAGTATAAGCTTGTACAGCCTTTTATGCACAACCCAGAACAAACTTAAAATCCGCTATATATTTAAGGGTCATGACCATGTGACTGGTCATAGGTCGAATTCTAAGACTTAAAACATAAAGCTGCGTGAATTGATTTTCAAAAATAATTGTGTTAGGAATTTGGAAAAGGGTAACTTTCTTAGCTTTCTTCTTCTTCTTCTTTTTTTTTTACATTGGTTACAAACGTTCCGTGCACAAAAATATCAAAGATCGATAAATGGATCTGGAAAATTCCTCCATTTCCCGTTTTTAACCACTAACAATTTTTACCTCTTCGCAAATTTATAAAACTATAAAATTTAATTCATGTATGATTGGTTTTATATTCTTCAGTTTTAAACAGTGAACAGATTTTAACCGCTATAAATCATGCATAAAGGTACTTAAGTGAACGAGTCGTGTGTTTGTCCACAGGGATCTGAGCTACAATTCATTTCCCGTGTTGCCAACAAAAGGACTCAAAACTCTGCAGACCCTGAAGATTCGAGACAACAGAGAACTAAAAGAAATTCACGCTGCAGATTTACCATCCGTTCGACTTGTTGAGGCGCATTACCCATACCACTGTTGTGAATTCCGTAAAGAGAAGAAAGAGAAAAAGCAAGCACTCCCTCAAGGAAATTGGGATAAGACACATGATTCGTGGACTTGGGACGAGGTTGTATATCTTAGAAACTCCTACGGGGAGGAAAACAGGACAGAATCTACGATAGACGACATATCAGGACTAGGGTCTGGAGAAGTGGATCCTGTTCTGATTGAGGGGAGCTCGAATTCCGAGATGCAAGGTCCAGTTACAGATGCGTCAGGCCACACTGGTAATATTATCGTAATTGAGGAAGACGACAACCATGAAGTCACATGCACTCCCGAACCTGCGGACCCTTTTTTTCCTTGTGACGATCTCATGGATGTGACTTTTCTTCGCGTCGTGGTCTGGATTGTATTCTTGCTAGCGTTGCTTGGTAACGCAGCTGTGGTTTTCGTCATCGTTACTCGCAGTTCTCGAATTGACGTGTCCAGGTTTTTAATTTGTAATCTTGCCGTTGCGGATTTATGCATGGGGGTGTACCTCGGTTTTTTGGCCATTGTGGATACTTCGACACGAGGCAACTTTCGAAGCTATGGTGTGGAGTGGCAGTTAAGCAGCGGCTGTAAGACAGCGGGTTTCCTTGCTGTGTTATCAAGCGAAACCTCGGTCTTTACATTAACTGTGATAACCATTGAAAGATACATTGCCATAACGCATGCGCTGGATATCTCTAAGAAAATGACTCTGAAGAAGACTGGCATCGTCATGCTTATTGGCTGGGTTTTTGCTTTGATCTTTGCGACATTACCCTTGTTCCGCGTCAGTGACTACACCAAGTTCAGTGTTTGTCTTCCGTTTGAAACTGGGGATTTAAAATCGTTGGCCTACGTGATGTCATTACTCGTAATCAATGGAACAGCATTTCTAGTCATACTGACGTGTTACGTGAAAATTTATGTCACAATTCGTGGCTCAAATGCGTGGAATACAAATGATTTTAAAACGGCTCAAAAAATGGCTCTTCTCATCTTTACAGACTTTGCCTGCTGGGCGCCTATAACTTTCCTGTCCATTGCGGCTGCTTTCGGTGGAGAGTTTGTTAGCCTCAAGTGGGCTAAAATTTTAACAGTTTGTGTTTTTCCTCTAAACAGTTGTGCGAACCCCTTTTTGTATGCTATTTCCACTGCACAGTTTAAGAGAGACTGCATGTCCTTCTGTCGAAGGGTGAAGACTTCGCAGATTCCAAAACTAACGAGCTCGAGGAGAAAATTTTCTATTTCAAGTGCAGAAATGAGGCGAAATTCCCAAGTGAGCTCATCTAATGGACTTGAGGGGATGATTGCGAAACTTCGAGCTGGTGGAAGGCGAAACTCTCTTCCCGCTTCAATGAAGTTGATGGTTCTGCAACCTGAAACAAGCAAATCATTGGAATTCCCTCAAAAAGACAAACAAGTTATTGTGGAGAGAGTAACAGCTCTTTAACAATTATTATAAAAACACAACTCAGTTGTCTTACCCTGTAAATTTAACACAGTCAAATGAGCGACAGCCAGGTCGTTAACAACGAACTTATATTTCATAATAACAGGCTGCGTCGTCCGTATAAGGTTAGCGAAAGCCGTTTTCTTAGGGAATTCGAGTCCCTTTCTAGGTGAGGAACTTATCATGGCCTGCAATCAAAATTCAGGGGACAGATTTATAACTTAAAATTTGTAAAGGGAATAAATTAATTGCATGGTCTCTTTTACAACCTGTATTTGTCGTTTTCTTAGAAATCTGAGAGCCAGGAAAGGGTTTTTTTATTTAAAAGAAAAAGAATTTGTTTGCTAATAGTTTCAATAAGCCATTTCCGAGTTCCAAAAACTCTCACGTTCAAAATGATGTAAAGTACAAAACCTTTCTTGTGAAAATGAGTTTTATTTGCATTAGAATAAAACATCAATGGATTTGCACTTAGCCTCGCTTTGACAGAGAGGCTTGGGGTAATCCGGGAATGGCCTATTAACCCTTTAATTCCCAGTAGTGATCAACATCAATTTTTTCCTAAGGATATCCATAGATTGTTAAGACAGATGGTTATGAGAATTAACAAAATGATCAACAAAGAGAAAATGCCTCGATCTTTTATCAAATTCTTTCAGCTAATTCTGAAAGGGAATGTATGGAGATCAGTTTGGAGAATTTGTATGTGGATATTGGGGCTTGAAGGGGTTAAAAATACACTGTTATTGCTAGTAAAAGACTTTCCTTAGAGAAAGATTTAACGAATATCCGATAACAATGTTGTGAATGAATGAATAGATAAGAGAGCGACCTTAGAAAAGGGTAGACTTCCCTAGCTAGGCTATCAACTTTGCTTTATTTGACTGATAAACTATGTTAAAGTGCAGCGGAAAGAATTTTCCACTTTTTAAGTACCCGTTAGTGTACGTCAAAGTTGTGTTGAAGAAAGCCTTGTTGGTTAGTTATTGTCTTCAGTGTGGTTTTGGTATTATTCTGTGTCTTTTCAATGAATTTTGTAAATTAATCGCTGTATTTATGCCACTGTATTCCAGGGATCACTTACTGTGTCTTGTTAAGGAACCTTATTTACAATGGGAAGTTTATTCGGGTGAACGTTTGGTCCGGCAGGCCGGTTATAATGATGACCGAAGCATTGCAACACAAGCGAGAGTGACTAGTGTTCACGGTTCTCCTCCTCCTCAGATCTTTGCTTGTGAAAGCTTGTAAATAGATCATTACGTTTATAAATAGCTATTTACGCAGTATTTTGTAACATTTTGTAATTATGAGTGTATATACCTAATAAAAACAAATAAAGGAGTTTTAACTGTGGCTGATTTGCTTAGCCTCCGGGCGCCGTTTAGTTTTTTTGGTTAATTTTTATAGATTGCGCGAGGGGAACGCGCGAAATGGAGAGAAGTCTCTTCGCTCATTTTTCCCCTCGTGCGCGCGAGTCCTTGTAATTTCTCCCTTTGTCCTAAAAAAAGAAACGGCTCCTGCCATGCAGTCTAGTTTGCTTAAAAAACGCAGATTTAAATGTTGCTTTCTTCCCAAAGTAGTGAAATTCCCCCGCCCCGCTACAAAATGACGCAAATGAACCTACCGCATAACACAAGCATTACCTACACGGATATGTGCCGCCCAACGGGGTCGTGATTTTGAAGCTCTCAGAACGGGGTATCCATTTCAGAGGCGTTTTCTAGAACGGGGTATAATATTTCGAAGGCACGAGAGCTCCAGTACTCTCGATTTGATGTATAAGTCGAACAAATAATGAAATATCTTTTGAAAAAAACTGGGTTATTTCAATTTACAAACTTTCTAGAACTGAGTTTAAAAAATTGGCCCATGTCTAGAACAGGGTATCAGTTTTCAGGCGAATTCTAGAACAGGGTATCAATTTTGGGAAATATTTTTTAGAACGGGGTACCCAAAAAATACCCGAGTGCCACACCCCCCCCCCAAGGGCGGCGGCAACGACAGCTATTGCTCCGACTGAAATCCATTCACATTTGGTTTTTAACCCTCAAAAGAATCAATTTAAATTTGAACAGTGACTTAAACACCTTACGAGACTTCTGGATCGCTGAACTGGAAGGAGGAGATGAGAATAATTTAGTGAGCGTAAACTACAACGATAACACAAAGGTGTTAAAGTTTGAATCGGTAACCGCTAACTTTTATTCCACCACTAATAATATACATGAAAACATTTCTCGATTTTGATTGGCTAAGAGGAATGCAGTTTTTAGGAAACACGGTGCAAAAAAAAGGTAATTGAGTGCAGAAAAAGGTGCAGAAAAGAGTAACATACGTGACATTCTGATTGGCTAATAAACAAAAGAACTCACTGAGAGCCAATCAAATGCGCCATCTAAATGGCGCAAAATTTGGATCCACTCCGGACCCAACTCCGGACCAGTTTCGAGCAAAAACAGCAATTGTTGGCGTTTGTAGAACATTTTCTTTTGCGACCGAAGCAACCGTAGAGGAGCTGAAGAAACTGCTCTAAAAACGAAAACACTGCGAAAAGCACTGGTTTTTGGCTCTCTTTTTGGAAGAATTGGTGCGTAGAGAAGAAAATTACGGATGAAATAGGAAATTATGAGCCGGCTGAGCTCAGAACACTTTGCTCGAGCATTTCTACGCAGAGGTAAACAATACAAAAAAGCTGGAGATTATGAACCAGAAAGCCTTAAAGTAATGATGGCATCGCTTGATAGACACTTAAAGAACAAATGCTGCACCCTGTCCATAGTACGTGACCGAGAATTAAGTTCGTGCAAAGAGGTGTTGGAGGACAAAGCGGAACAGTTGTTCGCTTGGCTGGCCGTGGTAAGCGCTCAAACAAAGCTCGGCAAGTATCAGAGGAGGAAGAAGAAATTCTCGGGAGGAGCGGAAAACTCGAGGTAATAACTCAGAATCTTTAATTCAAACACATTGAACAATTCCATGAACTGTTCAGCCCGTTTCTGCAGCTTGCAAACTTTAAACTGACATCGAGCAAAATGTTGTTTTTGACGGCCGTCGATAAAATCCGGAACATGGAACATTCCGGAACATGCCGGAACATTCCGGAACATCCCGGAACATGGAAAAAAAAACATTTTCATGAAAATAAATAAATAAAATAATAATAATAATAATAAAACAATTTTTATATAAAAAAACAAAAAACCGAAAGACAAAGAAATAAAGAAAAAGAAACTCGTATCATCTCCGGGTATGTTCGAGGCCTTCATCAAAGAACAATGCGACTTTAACAAGAAGATTGAAAGTCATATTTCCTCTACCTCCATAGAAATAAGTAAATGCACGATAGAGTTAAAAGATTTAGAACTAAAGTGTAAAAACCAAGCAAAAGAAGTAAAACTAGCCTGCGAAAATCATAAACAAAATCAGCGAAGAGGTGCACGTGCGACTACTACGGAAACTTAATTGAGCAAGTATTCTACGATGACGTTCACCTAAACAACAAAATCGGTACAAATAATCTTGTAACAAACATTAAACACAACCTAGGACTTCGGGGCAAAAACCTCGAAAGCCTGCCAATGAATCCACGTGGTTTTCCCCGCGTCACACTCGATCCTCAGAGAGAACCGCCCTATAACGAACGCCGAAGAAGGAACTATCACAATAATCAACCATTACTGACAAGCTCTCAACCTAATTGCAGAGTATTTAAGAGAGAGCAAGATGTTAATGAGATAAGTAATCCCTTTCCATTTTCTTTTTCCATTCCGTGTGTCACGTCATTTGTAAATTAGGGTTCTGGAATTTGAATGGTTTTAACAGTAACATTCTAAGAAATAAACTAAAAACAGCCGATTCCTTAAGCATAATTAACCTTTTGTTACCCCTTTGTTACCCCTTGGTACACCTTGTTACCCCTGTTACCCCTTGTTACCCCTTGTTACCCTTGTTACCCCTTGTTACCCCTTGTTACCCTTGTTACCCCTTGTTACCCTTATTACCCCTTGTTACCTTTTGTTACCCTTGTTACCCCTTGTTACCTTTGTTACCCCTTGTTACCCTTTGTTACCCCTTATTACCCTTGTTACCCCTTGTTACCCTTCATTACCCTTTGTTAGCCCTTGTTACCCTTGTTACCCCTTGTTACCCTTTTTTACCCTTGTTACCCTTGTTACCCCTTTTACCCCTTGTTACCCTTGTTACCCCTTGTTACCCTTTTTACCCTTGTTACCCTTTTTACCCTTGTTACCCCTTGTTACCCTTTGTTACCCTTGTTACCCCTTGTTACCCTTTTTACCCCTTGTTACCCTTGTTACCCTTGTTACCCTTGTTACCCCTTGTTACCCTTGTTACCCTTTTGTTACCCTTGTTACCCCTTGTTACCCCTTGTTACCCTTGTTACCCCTTGTTACCCTTGTTACCCCTTGTTACCCTTGTTACCCTTGTTACCCTTTGTTACCCTTGTTACCCTTGTTACCCCTTGTTACCCTTGTTACCCCTTTCCCTTGTTACCCTTGTTACCCCTTGTTACCCCTTGTTACCCTTGTTACCCTTGTTACCCCTTGTTACCCCTTGTTACCCTTGTTACCCTTGTTACCCTTGTTACCCTTGTTACCCTTGTTACCCTTGTTACCCCTTGTTACCCTTGTTACCCTTGTTACCCCTTGTTACCCCTTGTTACCCCTTGTTACCCTTGTTACCCTTGTTACCCCTTGTTACCCTTGTTACCCTTTGTTACCCTTGTTACCCTTGTTACCCTTTTTACCCCTTCTTACCCTTTGTTACCCCTTGTTACCCCTTGTTACCCTTGTTACCATTTGTTACCCCTTGTTACCCTTGTTACCCTTGTTACCCCTTGTTACCCTTTTGTTACCCTTGTTACCCTTTGTTTTGTTACCCCTTGTTACCCTTGTTACCCTTGTTACCCTTGTTACCCTTGTTACCCCTTGTTACCCCTTGTTACCCTTTGTTACCCTTTGTTACCCTTGTTACCCTTGTTACCC